GTTCTCCCACCGGAGGGTTAGTGTGGGTGCCAATCACGACGGTCTAGGTCGTGACAGTTTTTGTTTTTGTTACTTTCTTCTAATTTCTATATGTAAATTTTTTCTAAGAAATTATCATTATTGTACACTTTTCTTTGATTATGATAACATTCTATTTATGCTAAAGAGAAATATTTATTCAATTTGCACTACCAAAATTTTAATCTGTTTAAGTGTCTTGTTTCCGTTAATATTCAATATCATAAGCTTTTCAACAATAGTTTAATGCGTCCATGACTTTTTTGCTTTTTATTTTAATAATAATAGAGAGATCTTTGATGGTCAATGACACACGGTTCAAAAATCAATGAATATAAATTTGTCCTTCATTTTTTCCCACTTAAATACTAAAAAAAGTATTTACATCATGTCGAATCTCTAATGTGCGCCTATTTACACATTGTGTGTTTACGCTCTTAATTATCACTAGACTAGAACCTTAGGAGCAAGACTAATTATATATAAGGCTTCAGATTCAAATTTCAGCCAATGAAAAAAAAATATTAAGATTATTTCTTTTCATCTATTCAAATACTGATGGATAAATTTATCTGATATTTATACTAGTAAAAGATAGCAATTACTATAGTAAATATCTAATAAAATAATCAAGATGCATGAAAACTAATCCGAAATTAACAATACACATAATCTTATAATTATTAATAACCTTTGTTCCAAATCTTACTATATGATATATATTTATATTATTATTAATTAGGAAAATAAATTTGTTGATTTATGCCAAGCATGAAACATGTCTAATCATTGAAGAAGATTTTGTACTAAAAATTAAAAGAAAAATAGATAAAAAGGCCCTCACATTCTCCTATCTCTCATCACAAGACCATACTTTAAAATCCCCCATGTGGAGACCATGTGAGTGATTTTCTCCTTTTTTCTCAAAGCCAAAACCTATGCCTCTCTTTAAGAATTTTTTCATTGCAAATGGGACCCACTACCCCACCCCACCCCCAACTTCACCATGTTTTGTGGATCATGCCAAGTTTTCCTTCTTGTGATTATCCACATTATATATATATATATATAAAAAATATTAACGACAGATAAATTTTGTACTGAAATAAAAAATTTCGTCGCTTTAATTTTATTTAGAGATAAATTATTTTTAAAATTTTTTGTTAGTTATGAACAATTCAATGGTTAATTAATGACAAAATTTGTGGCTAATTTTAATTATTTATTTTGATAAAATTTAATACTAAAGCTATATTTAAGGCTCTTTGACTTAATCTTTAACTACATATTCCTCAAATCAATCATGTGTATCTATTTTCTATGGATTAATAGTGTTTAGATGTTGAATTTATTACTCACAAAGGATGACAGAGTAATATATGTACCATGTGATTATTATTTTTTGAAAAGTAGTATAAATATTAAGAATTAGATATAAACTCATATTTTGATTATATTGTAAACTTTGAACTCAATAAATTTGATTTATGAATATGTATAAATACTATGATTTTTTCATTTCAAGATTTTGTAGTTTCTTAAAGCTTCTTATTGCATGTATGGTAATAAATGTGTCAATGTTTTTATTGCACATATGCTGATTTAAATTATATTGGTAGTTAACAAAGTTTATATTGTAGCAAAACTAATTGTGTTCATGAAAATGCATTATGTCAATGCATGCATTAAATAATTTTGAGATAGGACATTTTTGTGAAACACATTTATGAATAATTAGACCTATACTCCCTTGCTTTCATTTTTCTTTATTTATAATTAAGGTTATTTGACTTTGTCTCTAACTACATATAACCCCCAAATCAATCATTTGTATCTAATTTCTAAGAACTAATAATGTTTGCATGTTACATTTAATATAAGGATATGCTTGAGATTTCGGATTCGAGCTTTTGAAAATAGAAAAAATTATATTGGAAGTGTTACTTTAAAAATGAGTTATATAATGCACGGATTTAAATTTAATCAAATTCCGATATAAATATTAAATATTGAATAAAAATAAAATAAAAAATTAAAATAATTGAAGATAAAAATACATTTAGTATTTTTAATCGGTTAAAACTTATTTGCATCTTATATTTATATCAATTTGATAAATGAGTCTCATGTGTCTTCAAATATATTGGTATAATTAACTATAAGTAATTAACACATATTTCACCTCAATTATTTAATTAATTTAATCCGGTAAATTAATATTATAAATACACCAAGTGTGTATAAGTTTTTGCCCGATTAATATTCCACCTCCACCCCAACCCCACCCTACCCCCTCCTCATAGATTTGAACAAACAAAGCAAAGATAAGTTATTTACAAATTTAATTTCCATTACTAGAAATTCACTATTTTTTACTAACATAATTTCATCGAAAACCGAATGTTATATGAAATTCAGATGTCATTTGCTTCATCGAAAAATGGTTCGTTGGTAATTATTTTGATCTGTAATAGAACTTTTATTTTATCAGGTCACTATGAAATATGTTTTTCAATTTGATGACTTATTAATATTCACAAATTTTCAGGATTATTAACCATTTCGATGTTTAATTACACATGACATACATCTAATTAAGACTAGCCCAAATATAACACATTGCTCGCACAAAATGATCAAAATCATACATTTTAATCAATAGAAGGCTAATTTTATCTATGTCGAGTCATATATATAAGGGTCAAAATAAGAATATATCTATAATCGAGGGATCAAAAGTGTAATTCTCCTTAAAATAAAGAAACATGGGAAGAGAGAAAAAAGATAAATATAGTTTGACCGCTAATGACGCGCTTATGTTTCTCTTTACCCCACATTAGCCCCTAATCATGTTTTAAAAGTTTATTATAGTGTCCCTATATTATATTTGTATTTATATATAGAGACAAACATGACTACAATTTTAAAAAGATTTTAGATTAGATTGTGCCAAATCATTTGTTTCTTTAGTCAAATTGGATGACAAAATTAAAAGAAAAAGAACGAACAATTCATCAACATGCATGGTTTAATTTACTTAAAACAAAATTTCTTCATTTTTAATTTATTGTAGCACTTATCTCCTCACTTTCTATCCAATAACTTTTCAGTGAGATGGATATGATCTCTCCACCTTTAACGAAAGGGTCTTGATTGAATTTGAATCTTGAGCCTGGAAATTTCTAGCGAAAGGGTGAAAATCACAAAATAAGGACTTTTCAATCTTTGAATTGAAAAATAGTCAAAGGTGAAAATTGAAACTCTTACACTCTGTTTGGATCATTGTTTCATAATGTATTGTATTGTATTGTATGGTAGATTTAGTGTTTGGCTAGACTGTATTGTTTGTTGTTGTTGTTTAATAATATTTTTATTGTTTGGTTTGACTGTATTGTAATTTATAAATTTACTAAAATATCCTTAATTATTCTAGGGTAGGAGGCTTTACTAGAATTAAATAATATAAGGTAAAGGGTAAAATAGTATTATGAAATATTATGTAAAGATATAATTGGAAAAATAAATTAAGTAACAATGGAAACATACCAAATTGGTTGTTCCATAAAATGGGGGTTTTCAATGTTACGTAACAACTGAATTTAACAATACAATACAATACATTTTAAGTAACAATCAAAACAAACATTGTACGTATAGTAACGATACAATACAATACAATGGGTAACAATGACCCAAACAGAGTATTAATGGATCCTACGTGTTGGAAATCTACATTAGTCGATCCAATACATAATCTTCTTACACTTAAAAGGAGAAAAAACATAGGAATTCAAGGAGATTAAGTAGAGATACTAATTAATCTTGGAAATTTTATTTGTTGCTATATATATATATAAAGATCATATTAGATTTATTTCTTGAAGAAATTATTCAAAATAAATAAAGAGAGAAGAGAAAAAGTAATTTTTGTTTTTCCTTAACTTTTTTCTCTTCCCTTGATGAAGCAATATAATTATGTGGGGATTTATGTTAATGTCCTTTTGTAGTCCAATTAAGTTACAAATGTTAGGTTTTGCATGGCATTTAGGGAACCTTTTTATTCTGTCTTAAACCAAGATTTTTGGATAATAATTATTATTCTCACTCTCTTTTCTAGGGTTTTATTTGCTTAGTGGGCCATGGGCCTCCATGTGAGAGCATGTGCTATGTCCTTCTCTCATTGGCCCACCATCCCACCACCCCATGTTACCCCCCTCCCCACCCCACCCCTTTCATTTGAACAAATAAATTGGCTTTTTTATCACTTAACTTCTCCTTCAAATTCCCATTCTTCACATTTCTTCTTTGATTTTTTGTTCCTCCAATATTAGCTTCGTCAAGAATTATATACTTATTTTGTGACCTCTTTGTTCGAAAATTTTGTCCAATAAATAGAAGAAAATTCACCAAGGTATGTCATTTTTGTCACTCAAATTTTCATTACACATTATAATAGATAGTCATATATTGTTCATGTTTATTTTCTTTCTTCTTGCATGTTCATATCATATGTAGCTAGCTTATAGACGTTCCTTTCTATTGCATCTTTCTTGTTCTAATATCAAATTGTCTACATATAATAACATGTAAATCAAACTAGAGAGACTTTATATCACAGCTATGAAAATTCACAGCAAAATTCATCGCTAATCCTGTTCAACGATGAATTATTAAAAAATTCTAGTAACTACAAGCTATTTAACGACAGATTGTCAATGAAGTTCTTAGCTAATTTCAATTTTTTTTCTTGCTTCAAGAATCTCTTGATATTGCTAATCCTATTCAGTGACGAATTATCAAAAATTCTAGTAGCTACGAGTTATTTAACGACAGATTAGCAACAAAGTTCATAGCTGATTTCAGTTTTTTGTAGTGATTTTTTTTTTCTTGCTTCAAGAATATCTTGATATTTCTAACTCATTTCATTCTTCTTTTTTATTGGTTTTATAGTTATAAGCCTAACATGACTAAAAAAAAATTCTTCTTCCTTTTTTTGTAGTTTCAAGAAATGAGGAATCCTAATTCACTCAAGCAAGAATTTCTCAAGAAATGGATAAAAGGTCTTCAAATATGTAGTGCTACAAAGAAAAAGATGAGTATAATGGAAAGAAAAAAAGCTATAAAATTATCAGCAGATATAGCAATGGCTTCAACAAGAAAATCAACAATTTATTGGAGCCATGCCCTCATGAAAAATGCTTCAAAAGATGACACAAACAAAATCATCATAAAAAATATTCTTGGATCAAATGATGATAATAATAATAATTTCAATAAAGCTTCAATGGGAATTTATAATTCTATGTCTCAAAATGGAATTATTAGAAGCAAGAAGATTATTAAAAAGAGTTGCAAAATTTCAAGAAGAGCAAGAAAAAATATTTCTCCAAGTATTATTGCAAAAAAAATGGTGGAAAAAAGAACAAAAGTTCTTAAAAGTCTTGTTCCTGGTGGAGAATATATGGATGATGCTTCATTAATTAAAGAAACCCTAGATTATATTATTTCATTAAGAGTTCAAGTTGATGTTATGAGGCATCTAGCTAATAATGCTAGTTGTGAGATTAATGATCCTAAAACAAATTTGTAGTTTTATTTTTTTTGGAAAAAAAAAATTAAATCATGAAGTGATCAATTCCTTCTTTTATTTCTTTGTTTTTTTTTTTACTCTTGTGGAGTTTTTTTTAAATTATTATATAGTACAAAGAAGATGTAACAATGTACATATGAGTAATATTATTATATGAAGTTAAATGTACTTATTATTAAAGCTTCTTATTGATTTATGTTCTCTTAGTTTAATTTTTCTTAAAATTATTTTTCTTTCTCTTAGTTTAATTTGTTCTTGTATATATGAGTTTTGATTATCTTTAAGAAATATTTTGACATTTTAATAATCAATGTCTTTTGAGTATTCATCATAGAATGGTGTAACTTATTTTTCTTTTTTTAAAAAAAAATAAAAATAAGTATAAATGCATGGCCATAATAATTAAGCATGAAATTCAGCAACTCTTTGGGATTGTAAAAGTATTTTTTTTCCCCTTTTGGTAGGGAGTGGTTTAATTCTTTAATTAAAAAAATGCAATTTATATCATTCTATTAGAAACACACGTGTTTTTCTACGAAATTTTAAACAAAATTTGTTGAAATTGTACGTCAATAAAAAGTGTGTTTCTAGGTACAACAACAATAAGTATAACAATAACATATTTAATATAATTCCATAAGTGGAGTTATTTATTTTAGAGTTGATTATTAGAGTATAAAATTATGACTTAGTTGTTTAAAATGTGCGGATGTTTTTAATAAAATATGTCTACCCTATGTTGTGAGGTATAGAGATATTAATGTAGCCCAAACTCGAACTTGGATTGCACATCGACGCTCAAGGACCAAATGATCCAAACCAGCACATGTTTCTAGCAAAAACTAATATTCCTAATTAGTTGTTTTGATTTTTGAGAATATATTTATTTAAAATTGCTACCATAATGATGTTGAAAATGAGAACACAACTTGCAATAAAATAAAAAAGAATAATAAAGTACTTTTTAAAAAGGTTTATGTTATTAAGGTACTAGTGAAAAATTAAAGAAAAAAGGAGAGAAGAAAATAGTGGTTGTAATAACTTTATTAATTACAAGTAAAAAATTAAATTGTTTCTCTTATATTCCTTTTATTTAATTATTAGATTAAAGTTTCATGATATCATGTCAAAGATTTTATGAAACACCCGTGAAGAGACTTGGAAACATTAAATGATTATTCGAGACTTTAAGAGAAGTAATAATATATATCAACTCACAAAATCATAATTAAACAAAAAAGTCATCACCAAAAACCTTTTTAGGGAAACCTAAGAGAGAGGGCGGTCTTTAGAAATAACTGGTCGAAAAAATATATATAGTCTCGTTGTTGAAAATACTTTTTAATTAGTGACTGATCGATTTTTATCCGTCAACACAAAAAGTTGATTTTTGCAATACTTGCACAAAGTGATTGTTGTTTTGATCACTGAGTACGATTGTATGAGATCATAATTTACCTAACAAGATCATCAAGGGTAAACAAGAATTGAGGATCGTATATTCGTACATGGGTGAATTCCAGCCAATGACTAAGATGTTTAGTCGACTTCCTCTCCTTTTGGTGCGGGTCCCGACCCCTATGGTGAAATGAAAACATGAGGTGCTTCGACCATTCCTTTTAGAAAGAATAGTCAAAGGTTTAGGTCCTGTAGCTTTCTCCATCTCCCTAACTGTGTTTCCATCAAACTTTATTGAGGTTTCTCTACGTGTATTCATTCAATAAAGGATTGAAATTCTCAAACAATTTTTGTGGAAGAAGATACTGACTTGGTTGATTCAACAAGAGGATGATTTTTAGTTGTCACAAGTATATAAAGTCTCCACAACAAAAATGCCCAATTTCTAGTGACGACTTGCTATTAATGTGCAATTTTTAGTGGCGATCGACTTAGGATAGCAACAAATGTTGATCAAAATTTTGCGGCAACTAGCTAGGGACACAAGATTCTTTATTCTTCAATGTATGCAAGTTAAACTCTTTCTTTAATTAATATCGTACAATTAACAATTATACTTGAGATAGTACTTAATCACTACAATGATCCATTAACGTGTTATTAAGCAACATTAAAGAAAAAAGGGTCGAAAGTTTTGGGCATGTAGATTTTCCCAGATAGATGCATTTCCATCAAACTTAATTGATGTTTCCTGAGGTGTATTCATTCAATAAAGGATTGGAATTCCAAAGCGATTTATGTGAAAGAAGTTACTCATGACTTGGCTGATTGAACAAAAGGATTTCTTCTCCTAGTGATCCGACTTAGGATTGCAACAAATGCTAATGATTAGATTTTTGTTGCAATTAGTCTCATCGCAAAATTCTTTATACTTCGATGTATACAAGTTAAACTCTTTGTCTTTTACATATCTAAGATTGTATATACAACAACTAATTAAAGTGTTATTAGACAACAGCAAAGCATTTCTCAAATATAATTTTATTGGCAAATTAGTTGATGTAGATAATATCAAAACTCTAACATGAAAATACAGGTCCTATAGTACCAAATTATGAAAATTATGTAAAATAGACAAAATAATTTTAAATAAATTTTGTTCCTATTTATGATTTTGAGCAAAGTAAAATTAGAATTAGTTTCCTCAACTTTTACTAAAGTGGGATTACAAAGCTAGGTGAAATATGCTCCAATTCTTTACCACATGAAAAATAAAATATAAATGTGTCTCTAATTATTTTTCTTGAAATGATTAATATCTAGAATAAATTGGCTCGATTTATTTAGTATTGTACAACGCCAAGTTCATTGAGGAAGCACGCCCTATGACTATGGGGTAATATTCACAAATTGCCACTTCTTACTCTATGGAACTAAAAAAATAGCTATTATCGTAAAGTTTCAAATTTCAGGACGTTTCTTGGATTTCCATTCGTAGAATTTGATACTCCATGACTATTTTTCAAACATGGGGTTGTAAAATGGCCCATGAACACTATATCTATTATATTTTGTTGGGCCTTGTACAAGTCTGTTTGAAGCCCACCATTGTAATGGGCCAAAACTTTCTTCACAAGTCTGCTTGAAGCCCACCATTGTAATGGGCCAAAACTTTCTCATCTCGCTTTGGTAGCGTTAAAGTGACGGACAAATTTTATATCTAAACAAGCAAATTCATCCCTAATCTTATTCTGTGAGAGACTATAAGAAAATTTTTGGGTAGACGACACAAATCTCATTAGTTTAAGAGCTAATTACTTGTTTTCCCCTGAGTTTTCGATATTATCAATCCTATCATATTTTGGTTCCCAGATATATGTATATCAGATACATGCTATCTAATTATGTATATCTAAATATGAAATGTAACTGAAACACATCAAATTTAGGAGCAAATAACGCATTATTGCTTGAATTTCTTCTAAAAGAAAACTTCTAAATTTAACACACACATATATACACACCACACAAAAAAAATTCTTTCATTTTGTATATGTTCTTCTTGTTTTTTAATAATCGGTCCTTGTCAATATTGAAATACAAATGAACAAACATCCTCTTGTTGTTTTTCCCTGTCCTTTCATGATAAACTGAATCAAAATAAAAAAAATTCAACGTTCACTATCAATAATTCAAATTTGAATGAACATTTTTGCGTCCCTAACTCTCCTTTTGTCTATAAGTACATCTATCATTGATTTGATATTTGTATTTCTCTATCGTCTTCAAAGAAATATACGCATCGAACATAGTCATCGAACGCATGTGATTGTGTTCGGTTGATGTGAGATAGTAGATATTGTTACATGCAATATTATTATTATGTACATTAACAAAACCACATAGGTCAATATTTAGGTTTTTTACTTCTTCTTTGTTTTACTTTAAGCACTCGGTATCATGATACACTGGTTTGACTAATTTAGATTCTCACTAGGTATGTCGGTTGATTTATACAAATATTCCTTTCTTATGCAATTATTTGAATTTGTCCATTTTAAAAAAGTTTTGCAAATATAATTTTTTAGACTAACAAATATTAGACTGTTATTTGATATCTACAAAATTTAGATCATAAGCTAAGATTATTTTATAAAATTTTCAGTTTGATCAAAAGAAATCTTTAGACAACGATCTAAAAGGCCTATAAATTGAAAGAGAAATGAACAGATGCTTCATTTATTAAATAATTGTCCAAAAGGGGATAATCGACGAAAATTTCTAATTTATGCCTAGTTGCCTACTAAAAAGAGTATGCCCTATTAGATGGTTTACCATTCTCAACGTTCATAAACTTGAGATCTTTAATCAAAGGTGAAAGAATTTCAACCATCTCGTCTCTTAGCAATAATAATAGTCTGACGCTTGTAATAAATTTCAATCATCTCGTCTCTTAAATATTAGTATCTTTATTTCCCCAAAAATAATTATTTTAATTTATTTTTTTCACTTGGTGTTTAATATTCATATTAAAATCTGACTAATTTTAGATTCGCGAATTATAAGGTCCATTTCTAAAGGCAACTTAGGCATAAATTCATTTATTCATGTTCATACTTGAGTATAATGGGAAACTGATAATTTCTTTCTTGACGTGCATTTTAATCTTCAATGCTATGATTAAAATTCATCTCACTAATAGTATATACTTTTTTATTACGCTATAGCTACTCCACTCTTTACATTTTTCTTTTAGAAAATTATATAGAAATAATTACTTGTAGTATTAATCATGATTGAGAAAATTCCTACAAAGCTTCATCCTAGAGATATCTTAAATCTTAATCCTCGCTTTCTTGTAATCATTCCAATTAAGTAAAATTTAGAATTCATAAAGAAAAAGATTCTTTCTCTTAATATTAGTTAATCATCAAAATTTCTTACTAATTTATGTTAGATTAATTAATTAATGGGGGACAAAAAGATTGGTGATATGAGGGAACATTCATGCATGGCTACAAATACGATTGATTTTTTTTCACTGTGGACCTTTTAATCACATAAATTAGCATTAGATAGTTAATAAATACTCTTCCTATCACATGAGCTCTAATGATCACACTTTAAAATTAAACCCCACAAATCCAAAAAATATACTTTAAACAATTTTATAATATCACAAAGAAAAAATATGGTTGAATCTATCGACAATCTCGTAAGTAAATTTCATTTAGAAACTCAGATATTAGTTTATTCTAATTGAACATTTGAACACATGACAAAGTGCTCATATTAAGAGAAAAAAAGTGTACATGCTAGCTCACAAACATCTATTACGTAGATACGTTAAACCTCATCCTTTAATTACGCACATCAGCATCAATTAGAACATGTATGGGGTTTTACGACTAATTAAGATTAATGTGTACAGTTAAATGAGGTGGCGTATTAATTAAATGGTTAATTCTAATGAGCGCTTAAGGACACAAGCAAAAGCTTTTTAAAAAATTTGAATCAAAAGCATCTATCATGAACATTTAATTTATTGTATCTTCAGATGTTCAAGCAAAACAAATTGTAGTTTAAGTGTTTAAATAAAATTAATTTACTGACAAATTTAAAAAGTTATCGATGTATTATCCCAAAAGAAATTAGAGATCCATTATTTCACAGAAGGCATATATAGTGTAACACAATATACAATTTTAAAAGGAGAGTTAGTTGCATAAACCTTCTTTATGATCTAAAAAGCTAATCTTGTTCTTTAAAAGTCATTTTCTTAAATAATTATTGTATTGTATAATAACATAAAAAGTATCCTAAAATATATACTATACATATAAATGTACCAACATAACCTAAAGTTGGCCCTGCGCATGCTTGGTTAATAATGTTTTAGAACATGATTAGTACTAGCTTTCATAAATCCTACACAAAAAGGTTGTATTCACTTTTGTACTCTCAGAAAAAATTATATTTATTCTTCGTTATACTTGTTTGATATATTTATCTTTGTCATCTGTAATTTAATTAAACTTGAATTACGATATTGATCATTAATTGTTATTAAAATTAAAATGTCTGAATCTTAATAATTATCTGGTCAGTGATTGGCAATAATTGTTGTATAATAAGACTAGTGGCGGAGGTGGTGAGTGGTGGAGGTCATTAATAGTGAAGACGGTTGGTGGTGATAATGGTTGATGGTGATTATAGTACAATAAGACTATCAATAATGAAGATGCCTAGTGGTGGTAATGGTTGACGATAATTAATTATTGTAGAAGTAGCTAGCGTGAAAGTGATCGTGATGGTGGTTATAAATGAAGGTGGTCGATGGTAGTGATGGAGAATAATGGTGATCGTAGGTATATGCTTGATAATTGAGATCTGAATAATTCAGATTCAGACATTCTTAAATAAAAAACAAATGAAACACAAATCCATCTTCATATAACTTCTAGCCCATCCAACAACATAATTCCAACACACAAAAAAAAACTAGAACATGATGGCCCCAAAGACAACTCTTACCTTGTTATCTTGTTAGCTATTTTGCCATCTAGAAAGTAATTGATCTTAGCTTGAACACACGGTTCAAATTTAAAGTTATAAAAACATTAGGGACCTAATGAAAGCTTATCTTTAGTATTTTCATTATCCAACAAGCTTTCATGCTTGTATAGTGGCTAGCATGTGTTAAGAATCCTCAAATGGAAAATATTTGGGCTATTTCCAAAAGAACATGTATTTGATTTGCAAAAATTTATTTTGGGTCCCCTTTCTTCTACAACCATCATTATAACAATAAAATATCATGAGGGGTTAGCTTTTCATAATCTTTTTATCTGTACTAACATCTCATCAAGGCAATTACTTGGGGAGCCTTTGTTGAGGGGACATAGTGAAGTCATATCGAGCCCGAGAGCGATCTAACGGTTAATGAAGTAGGTAAAACTAAAATTAAAATCATAAAAAAAGAAACAACATGGTGCACGAAGCATCGCGCATTCATGTGAGTATAGGGGGAAGGGCAGCACTTCAAGGGAGTGTGATATGAGCAGTCTATCCTGAAGCAAGAACCCGTAGTTGATTCCACTACTCGAACCTCTAATCTATAGGTTACATGGAAACAACTTTACCATTGCTCAAAGTATACCCTTCATCAAGGTTCACAGCTCAATACACAAAAAGTACTTGATAAACTCTTCCCATCTTCCTAAGAATTAGAGGGCAGAGTTATTCGTTACCTATAGAGGTAGCAGGTATCCAGTGGAATAGTCGAAGTATGCACAAGCTATCTCAGATGTCACGTTATCAAAAATAGAAAGAAAAGAAAACTTAGCTTTTTTTCAAGATCTCATATCCACACATGCAACAACATCATATCCAATGTAATCCCACATATGGGGTCTGGAGAGGGTAGAGTGTACACAGACATTAGCCCTACCTCGTAGAAATAGAGAGGTTGTTTCCGATAGACCCTCGGCTCGTATTCACACATGCATTTTTGGAATTAGATACCAAAATAAACTTTTAAAAATTGTTATCTTAAAGTAAAAGGTGGATTAATGATTCATGGAGGCTGGCTTGGCATTGTATTCATAATAAAGCTATGAATTGCCACTTTATAGATGTTATATGGACCCTATGATGATAAACCAACAAATTAGCTCAGAATAAGAAGTGATTTAACACTTTTAAGCTTTCTATCTAATTCATATCTATTTATATCTCTCGTAAGTGTATTTAGCATTCTATCAAAACTTCACTCACCTTACAACAACTGTAGAGCAACTGTTCAGTCTTGGTTGAAAAAAAAGAAGAGAAAGATGGATCTTGATTCAAATCCAACAATCTCACAAGCACATCCCGAGACGATGGACTTCCTTTCGCGCACTTGGTGCAACTTTGCAGTTCAAGCGTTCCAGCCGGAGATGCAAGACCAAGCTCTCATTCTACATGAAAACTCAATCAAGAATTTAAACATTGACAATAAACCTCCTCTTCCTGTAAGTAATCATTGTGAAATCATGTCTAACATATACAGTAACAAAATATTGAGGTTTCGTATTAATATATCATATTGGAATCACAGAAAATGGAGAAGAGCATGAAGATGGATGATGCAGATAATTCAATTCCACCATGGAAATCCAACGATGTCAAGGTAAGAAATAGAATACAAACTCTAGTGCATTATCACCACAGATTCTTCACAGAAAAGGCCCATGTGACATACTTTCATGTGTTTCGTTAGTCGTGGATATGGATGCAGCAAGCCATGCATCCAGAGGTGAACTACAACAGCTATTTCCAGAAAAAATGGGTAAGTTGAGAATCATCCAATCATCAAGATATTTTCGCCTGTTATCCCTTTTTGAGACAGTTGTTTAGTAAATGACCCTTTTCTTGTATACTCTTGCAACTTATGGACCTTACCACGACGTAAAGATCCCTTACGAGCCAACAGTATGAGAAAAAAGTTAGAACACGGTCTAGAAATTTGTAAATAATTGCAAAACATTAGACGACAGTCCAATGTGTTGTCAGTAAGGTTGACCTATACATAAGCAAACATTAGACCCAAGTCTAGCGTATTCTGGAAAGTAATTATCCAAAAGCTATATTTGCACAACTTTTAAAAAGGAGGACAAAATCTAAATGGTGACCCAAATAAGGGACATTGGCATAAATCAACCTCAATCATCAGAGCTAATTATTGGTTTAATTAAAGCAGCATGGTGAAAATAAACTCAGTGCGGAGAGCTTGTTTCATGCAGATGCCATGGAAAATAGGACCACTAAAGAATGTGTCAATCAAGAAATGGATCAAAGAAATTAAGCAGAAGAGGAAAGAAGAAAAGAGATTACAGAAGGCTGAAGTACATGCAGCGATATCAGTGGCAGGTGTTGCAGCTGCCTTAGCTGCCATCGCTGCTGAAAACTTGAACCATGATCAGTCAGGGAGTACCAAGGAGTCAGCTGTGGCCAGCGCAGCTGCACTAGTTGCAGCACAATGTGCAAAAGTGGCAGAAGCTATGGGGGCAAAACGGGACCAAATCAGCAGTGTGATCGGCTCAGCCATGACCGGCACAAGTGCAAGCGACATTCTGACACTTACAGCTGCAGCTACAACTTGTAATGACTTCTCTCCACCTCTTGAAATACATAGTGTTTACACATATGACTCAATTGTTAGAAAACCTAAACTTAGCAGCCTCTACACATAAAGATGACTGTGTTTTTGGCATGCATCTTTCATTTTACACGAGATGTAAGTAATAAGAAGATTTAAACAGCTCACATTCACTTCTACTAGTACATCAACAATAACAACATACCCCTAGTGTAATCTCACAACTGGGGTCTGGGGAGGGTAGAGTATACGCAGACCTTACCCCATCTCATAAAGATAGAGAGGATGTTTCTGATAGACCCTTAGCTTAAATAAAGCAGATAGAATCTTACTTCTACTTGTACTCTTTAACAATTCAGATCTAGAATCTAACTGCAGCTATCAAAATCAAACAATCAAAGCTTCCTTAGCATAAAGTAAAAATCAAGCTGCTACTAGAAGAAATAAAGTCAAGGCAATTTTTTTGTATATCAGTTGTTCGGAAACTAGACAGAACTAACCTTTATAATAGAATTATATGTGCTTCAACTGAGCAAGCTTGAGGAGTTCAAAGAATGAAATGTTTTATCATCCAACAACTGGATTTGACTCTGCTGAAAGGACCACAATGTGGTATCATGAAATCAACACCCAACATGGGTGTGTTCGCCATGACTTAGGTTTAAAAATAAAGACAAAAAAAAAAAAAAAACTGCTGAAAGGAAGTATATAAACAAAACAGTGTCATTTGGAACCAAACTCAGCCTCTGTTAGTCTCATCTTAAATTGCAAGTAAAACTCACCTATTTGGACTTGCACCACTACTGTCTCAGCACTCAGAGGAGCAGAAACACTCAAAGCAAGATCTGGCTACAAGAATATTTTAAATGGAAGCACACCAGTTCTCCCAATTGAAGATAGCAACGACTACAACTTTAACTACGAGAAATGCAGATCAATTCTCTCCAAGGGGGCAGACCTCTATATTGAAAAATCAGAAGGTATGTCTAATTGTCTATTTCTCTATAACTAATAATTTTACCATACATGTCCTTTGATATCTGTTACAGTCTGTTGTTTCTTGTACTTCCATTACCATCAGTTGTTTTTTCTTGAGTCGAGTGTCTATCGAAACAACTTGTCTACCTTTGAGGTAGGGGTAAGGTTTGCGTACACTCTATCCTCCTCAGATCCTATTTTGTGGGACTACACTGGGTATGTTGTTGTTGTTGTCTGGACAGAAAATAACTGCAATAAGCACATCCGGAGAGGGGCCAATATATGGTTTTTGCAGATTCAATAGCGACAGTCGTACAAGGAAATGATTGTTAATGCAAAAAAGAAAAAAGAAAAAAAAAAAGAAGTTTCGATTCTCAAAAAAAATTATGTTGTTGGATCATCAGCTGATGCTTTTTTTTGTGTTTTGCTATGTGGAACAGGAAGATCCAAGCTAAGGTCGGTGTCCATTGTCTTAAATAGTGAAGCCAAGGTGTGAACATTAATATCTCTTCAGCTGATAATCATGTATTACCTACTGTATACATTTGCTCCAACAACATAGCAGCGTCATAATTCAAGGAGAATGACAACGATTTAAAAAAAAAAAACTAAACCACCTTTCTCTTCTTTTTTTTGCTTTAAAAGTTAATGGTCAAACACACCCGAAGTTTAATGTTTTTGCGTGTTTCCTACCTGAACTATTATCACCAGCTATTTATCAAAACATACCTCAACCACAACCAAAAGTCGTGGACAAGATCTCAGTATGATGTGTTCAAATACAAAATTTAAGTTCTAATTCTTATGTTACAGGTTATCCTAAGAACAAGGAAGCCAACTATGTTGAAGACCTTCTCAAGTCAAACGGAAAGTATGTCCTTGTATTCACTACTGTTTCTTTACCTTAGTATTTCTTGCACTTCTCATATTAAATTGGTGACAATGCTTTCTGTTATGCTAATTAGATAGTTAACAAATTTATGAACACCTCCACATCTGATTGTAGGTGTCGTATTAGACCTACATGCCGAGCTGTATAAGGATTCAAATGGAGCGGAAACTGATAGCTGCTATCTTATTGTGCTAACAACAAACAGGGGAGTCATCAAGCTAGACATGATGGATGATTACCAGCGATACAGAATGTGGTCAATGACTATTAACCAAATGCTGACACTCTCTACTTCATTTACAAAATATGAGCTCCAATATTACAAAAGCTAATCTTAATAAAGATTTGTGGCATCAGCATATTTTTCACATGAGTTTTTTTGTCATGTATAGGTTTTAGTATTTAGCAACTTCAAAGTTGTCAAATCTGTTAATAGTTACATATCGTGTTCTTGTTTTTCTAATAAGTTACATGTTTGTTGATCGTATTGTTTGCTTCAATCCTTTATGATTTTTCATTTCTCACCTTGTTCACTTGGATATCAGTTTCTTGAGTCAATTATAATTATTCTATTTGATGAATTAATTCTTCTAATTACAAGAATTCACCTAAAGCTCCTCAACAACAACATACCCAGTGCAATCTCACGAGTTGGGTTTGAGTAGATAGGATGTACGCAGTCCTTACCTCTACCTTTGCGGGTAGAGAAGTTGTTTTTGATAGACCCTCGGCTCAAAAGATATGTCATTGATGCAGGAAAGGAAGAAAGAAAAAGAGACAACAAAATAGCAGATGAACAAAACAAGTGCAACAACAGATTTTAATACACATTGGGGTAAAGGGGACTACATGATACTTAAATCATACTACTAGAAGTACGACAACACTCGACCTCCATACCTACTTTCCTATCTAGCCTTCATACCTAAAGCTCCTCAAGTAATGTGGAAATCACATTCACGTTCTCATAAAGCAACACCAAAACTTGGTCCTGTCTGGAATTGCGGTTAAATTACAGATGTTCAAAGTCAAATTCAAACCAAACCAGGGAAGAAGTTCTAGCCACTGTAGTTCACATGAACTGATGTACTCACATGTATGCATCGCATCACACTCTAAGGGGTCGTTTGGTAGAGTGTATTGGAGAAAATAATGCTTGCATTAGCTTGATTATTATTAGTACCTTGTTTGGTACACGTTCTAACCTATGCATAGCTAATGCTTGTATTAGTAATACACTCTATTGTGTATTGAAGAGTGTATTACTAATACCATCTATTTCTATGCATTAGTACACTTTTCTAATCTATGGATAACTAATGCTTGTATTAGTAATACACTCTATTGTGTATTACTAATGCCATCTATTTCTATGCATTAGTAATGCAATGGGTTCTAATGCATGCATTAACATTATTAAAGACACAATTGCCCTCAAAAACTTTTTTTACATCCTTTCCACTATACTTGTGGAGGGTATTTTTGTAAACAAATATTTTTTTCTAAAAAAATTATGTAATGCATAATATTTTTAGTACACCAAACCAAACATTGCATAAAAAAATTCTCATCATCACTAATGCAAGCATAACTAATACAAGCATTATTAATGCACTATATTTTGCATTATTCTTATACACTCTACCAAACGACCCCTAAAAACATATATTTTCTCCCTTTCAATTTATGCGACATAGTTTGACTGGGCAGGAGTTTAAGAAATAAAGGAGAACTTTTGAAATTTGTGATCTTAAATCTACCATAACGATTGTGTGGCAATAAAAGCTAGTCATCAACAACAACATACCCAGTGTAATCCTACAAGTGGGGTCTGGGAAGGATAGTGTGCACGTAGACCTTACCCCCACCTTAAAAAGGTCGAAAGGTTGTTTTTGATAGACTCTCGGCTCAAAACAGACAGCAACAAAAAAATACAATAATCAAGGCTAAAGAATCAACCAATAGAAATAGAAATCTAAGGATACGAATATACAAGTTTAATACTAATACTCCAAGAATGGGAAAGCAAAGCAATCGACTACCTACTAACCTTCTATCATAATCCTTGATCTCCACACCCTCCTATGAAGGATCACATCCTCAGCTATTAAAGCTTATCATCAAGGGTAAAAGGAAAAGTTCAAGTTAAATTGTTTCCAAATTTAGAAATATTGTGATCTTTTTGGGAGGGCTTAGAAAAGAAATAGTATCATTCTTTTTGGAAAAGAGGAAGTATATGTATGCATATCATAATCCCAACATAAATATCTTGATATGATACGCAATCAGATATACGAAACAGGTATTAAAGGGAATTAAAACATGGACGTAGAGGCAAGAAAAGTCAGTGAGTCAAAATTATAATCTTTTCTTCTTTCCATATATTTCCTACTTTTTCCTTTGGTGTTTCTTACAGAATTGTATTTAATCAAACCATGTGTACAAAATTTCAAAATTTCCGCTAAATAGCTGAAACTCCTATCCATTCTCTTCAGGAACAAAAGAAAAAAGAACGGAAATATAAATCAAAAGGTAAATGATACTAGAAAAAATTTACACCTAGAATAGTTAAACAAAATTTCTAGATTATTTTGCTCATCAAGGACAGAATCACTGGCCTTTCAGTGTATACACAGCAACAGATGCCTGAAGTTCTCGATCCACCTTGAAGTGAGCATGGAAGAACCGTTTTATCTGTCAATCACACGGACATACTTGAATGAGCACATTGCACTCCCACTTTTTCCACACACAAAAAAAAAAGAGAAAATAAACTGTTATAGAAGTAGATCAAGACGAAAGAAAGCAACCAACCTCTTCGAAATTATGCAAAGCTAGAAAGTCCTTCAGTAGTTTTTCCTGAAAGTCAAAGAGCACAATGTGACTAGGTATAGACCAATTCTTAGCAAATTCTGTTGCAAAACCAGCTGGATCCACCAGAAACTGATCAGACTCGTCTAGAGCTCCTTTCTCGTCACTGCAGAAAGGAATAAACAAAGGTTCAATTCTGTTGAAACAAAACAAAAACAGTATAGCCAGAGACGGTTAGACATTCACAGTACATTGGCAGCATATAGTGCATACCTTGGTGTGCAATCTAAGAAACGCATAGGAAGGTTACGGTGAAGAGTTGAGTAGTAAGGTGTGGCATGGCACGGTGTAAAGAAAAGGACACTTTTCACTTTCCCACTGTCCGCCTCTACGGAGAGGTAGTTCATTACATCCTCTGTCCCTCTCTGTAGAAAGAGGTTACAGATAGGATAATAAGTTCCACAGAAATTTAAAGTTTTGATGCTATAACGCGAGCAAAAGAAAAAGGAAAGAGAACTAGGCATCGGACTTTTGTAAGAAAATATTGCTTTTGCAAAAGGTGAGAAGAAAGTCAGATGTCGAGATACCTGATGAACCATACTCATGTAAAATGCCATCGGAATATTACTAACTGCTAGGAACAGAACGGCCAGTTGTAATTTTCCTGAGCACCTATCATGACTGCTTGGAGATCTTTTACCTCGGCCGTTAGACTTATCAGGCCATCCAATTGTTGCCAACCAGTACCCAGAGAACATTAAAGCTATTGGAAGCACAGGGAGGACAAACCTGTTTTTCGGACAGTTTAGAGAATATCAATCAACTATTCATTCAACTACACCTATGACATGGAAGTTATTACAGAACATAAAGCTTAATGACTATTATCATCTTTGAAGGGAAGCCTTGATGTAACTGATAACGTTGTTGTCATGTAACCAAGAGGTCACGGAAACAACCTCTTGCAGAAATGCAAGAAAGCGGCGTACAATAGACCCTGGTAGTCCGTCCCTTCCCCGAACCCACACATAGAGGGAGCTTAGTGCACCGGGTTGCCTTTTTTTTTTATAATCATCTTTGACAAAGAGACATATTTAATCTGAACAAATACCTGAACTCTTTGTGACCCAACAAGCTATAAATTGCCAAACACCAAGCAATTAGACCAGATAATTTCCACTGCTTAGATTTGAAAATGCCAGCAAGCGAAAACGGCAAGAATGTGAAGACCATAACTGTAAAACCCTGAGTGAAGTACCAATGCCACACATGAGTTCCATAATAGTCTCCACCAGCAGAGAGAAAATTGAACTTCAGAAAGTTCAAAGGCACGAGGACCCAAGTGCCATACATCCAGCGATCCACCAGAAATGTAAGTCCCATAATTAATGTCCTGACTCAAGTGTTAGAAGAGGTAAAAGATTTTGTGAGTATGTAATTTTGTAGTTTGAAGAACAATAGATCAACTGAAAACACAAATAGGAGTTCTATGAATTCTCCCAAATCAGAAAAATTCATGGATGAGAGCAAAGCACTGAAGACAATGTGTGGTTTTACAGGTGTTCCTTTCCTACATTCATGTCTACATCATCTCTTTTAAAGCAAGAGAAACCATGAACAGTTTCAAGTATGATAGCATACAGATGTGGAAATTGAAAAAACCAAAAAAGAAAATGAATAAACCTTTTCCAATTAGCTTGGATAAGTTTCAAGGGATAGTGAAACTTCACTTGAAACTGAATGGTCATACTGATTCATATCACCAAATCTTTAATATCCAGTTTACTCTAAGATAGAAGGGATTCAGCTAGCAATGGTGTACGACCATAGATCCTGTTATTGGGTTCGGTTAGACCCTCAGCTTACCTAGTTAATAAAATGCAATTGCATATCTTAAAAATAGCATGACGTAGTCATGAGAAGTAATGATACTTACCCAATAGGAATCACCTCAAGAAGAACAAATTTCAGCTTATCACGTGTCAGGTACAGCTCTAGGAGGCCAATATAGATCCATGTAATGGCACTTGTAGGTCGGATTGCACATGCTAATGCAGCTGTAGCTAAACCCCATTTTCTAGAACCCCGAGAAATTTTACTAGCAGTTGGTCTAATGCAAGGCCAGTAGTACAGGCTCACAACAGTAAGAACAGTCTCCAGACTATTGGATAAAGTACGTGTGATACAGAAAAACATGAACCAGTTTGTCAACTGGGCAAAAAGCTGCAGATAGATCAAGTACTTCAGCATCAACGATATTGGAGTGAAACATCAGCAATTAAATGTACAAACACTAAATAGAGCACGAGCACTTGCGGATCTTCAAGTAATAAAAAGAAAATAACAAAAGGCAGGATCAAGAAAATGGTATGCGTTACAAAGGAAAAGGATACCGCGAATTTCGCAACATGGTCACCAAATATCTCTTGAGAGAGCTTAAACAAATAGAAGTCCCCAAAAGCTGAAAATATTGACTGCAGCAGTCGTGGAGTCCTTATCTGAGAAGAATTGAGACTTTGTTAAGCACCATGGGAAAGAACATCTAATGCATACGCGTATAATAGCAACTATCAATAATGAAACTAAATGAGCAAAAATGCAAACAGACAAGAGAAAAAATCTCCATCAAAAAGATGCATATACCAAATCTTACTTTTAGTTGCACTGTTTTGCATTTGAAGTATGGCAAATGGATAGTCCGGTAACAGAGATAAGATGTCTACAATGTGTACTCCAGAGTATTGCCAAGGAAATTACCGGTAAATGAATGGTAAAATTGGCACTCCCTGTTTCACACATATTAAGAGCCCGAAGAAGTGGCTAAGGATACCTTTTCTGTAGAACGATATTTACTCAATAATATATGAAAAATGTATCTTTCTTAAGAAAATACACTAAAACTGTGGATAACCCAAAATAGGAAGTACGGTAATCAGAATTGAACGGATGAGTAATATCAATAACCAATCTCATCATCTCCATTCACTTCCTAAAATTTCTAGTTTCATAAAGCCTATTAGATTGACACCACATGCTTCTGCATTCCCAAACACCACATACAGACCACAATAAAGTAAGAAAAAAATGTGAGAACATCTGCACTATTTTCTTTTATGGATTTCACTCATGAAACGAGATGATAAACTAAAGACAGAGGAAAACTATTAGAATTAATAGCTGTTTCCTCTGAATGAGCTAAAACAAAAAAAAAAGATATATTGAGGTTCTATGTTGCTCGGACTCTCCAAAAATAATGCCGCACTCATGTTGGATCCTCCAAAATGCACATACTTTGAAGGATCCGACACACACCTGGCAGCATCTTTGAATCATCCAAGCAACATATCCATTTACATTGTCACATTATGAGACAACACAAAACTACAATAAAGTGCAATTCTTGCAGAAATACACAATCAAGTATCAATCTTTTCAGATTCAATTCACATTAATCAACTCAAACAAAGCTGAAAAAAAAAAACTCATAATTACCATAAACCAAGGTTTGTCAAGATGAAAAAAAGCAAGAATTTTATACAATCCAGCAAATATCACTGGATGAAGATAACTCCTTATACCCTTTTCCCATTCCCACGTCAAATGTCCATATCTGCCAAAAAAAAATCCCCAAATCACTAATCAAAAAAATTAACAAAAAAAACCCCAAGAATTGTGAAAAAAACACAAACCCAAATGAGATTCGATGAGCAACTTCAAGGGCTTGCCAGTGTTCATCTGGATTGAAATATGTTTGGACCAAAAAAGCATTAACAAATCTGACGAACAAACACAAGAAAAAAACTTTTTTCAATAAAGGGTGTGTGAATTTATTGTTTTTGGAAGATTTGGGTATGTTGGTTTTGCTATCAGTAGATGAAACATCAAGATTCTTCCTTTGTCTCATGGTTGGAAAAAAGACTGGGGATTTGATTTTAGTTTTCAAGATTTAGAAATTGAAATTTTTTTGTTAAAAGAGGAGGGAGATCCCTCACTTTTCTCTTTAATTGGTAACTTAAAAAAATTCATGTTTATTTCAAATAAAAAATTAAATTTTAGAAAAAATTATAAATTTGATAAAATAAAATCATATTTGATAATGTTTCTAATGATGGTGAAATGGTATATAGTGATGTAGTAGTAATTGTTGGTGTTAGTGGATAGTAATGGTTGATGTTGGTCGCTAGTAATGGTGATGGTAATAGTTGTGATAACGAAGGTGGTTGATGTTGTAGTGATTGGTATAATGATAATGGTGATTGTGATTATAAAGTTGGTTGATGTTAGTAGTTGACGATGTTGATGGTGATGGGTGATAGTTGAAGAAATTGACCGCTATACTAATAGTGGTTGATACTGGGATGGAAGTGGCGACGGCGATGATAGTGATGGTGCTAGTGGTGACAACAAATATAATTATAATGACAAAAGTAATAGGTGTACTGAAAGCTACTGACTGTATGGGTTGACAATGTTGGTGGTTGCTAATGGTGTTTAAGATGCCAGATTGGCGACGGTAATGATGGTTGACAATGACAGTTGTGATGACAAAGGTGGTTAATGATGCTAGCAAGTGATCATAATTCATAGACAAAGTTATAGTCAATATAATCCACATAAAACCTCTCAATGATATTTAAGACTTTATTCAAGACATAGAACTAGTTTAATATGATTGTCAAAAGTTATAATACAATAAGTTACATTGAATACATTTTCTTTATGACTGTAAAAAGATGGACACAATGATACATTAAGAATCTACAAGAAAATGATACAATGTGAGATTTCTTGGAGGGCCTTTTTCCTTTTCTTGAGTGAAAACACAGAATTTTGTGTACATTTTACATTGAAACATCAGAAGAATTGGAGAGATCTGTCCACAAGAGAAGTCTTCGAGGTCGATCTAAGAACCTTGCTTGCCACGCAGGTTCCTCGTTCTCTTGTATAAAGCCACACTTTATGTACAACCTTTTTGCTGGCTCGTTGTCGATGGCAACATGGACATATAGATCACTTATTCCTGTACAAAAAACACGAAAAGAATAACTTAGTACTGTAATAGCTATCTCAAGATAGACAGTTAGAAGCTCAAGAATTGGTAGAGAAAAATACTGGCCAACAATAGTTTGTGCTTTGTACATATACACAGATACACAACATATATAAGGTAAGTCGGTCAGTTTGAGCTTGCTCACATTGCCAATTTCAAGCCCGGGCAAAGGACGAGGGTTGCAAATATACATATTACAAATCATAATGAATCCTCATGAAAGATACCACATTTGCTAGAAGATGCAAGTAGCACACGTTCGACCTACAGATGCACCCGTTTGTAGGTGTGAAACTAGGTGGTTTATTAAAAGAGGACAAGCAAAACCTAAAACCTCATACAGGGAAGTTGTCTAGAAAGACCTACAATTTCTTGGAATCAATGTAGACTTTAGCTAGAGATAGGGCGTAAATCGTAATGGAAGAAAAAGATCCATATAGGTGACATCTGCTAGTTGAGAATAAGTTATAGTCTTGTTAGGGGATTTATATGTAACTTATTTACTTTTATTTTTATTTGGTGAGACGATGACATGAGTTGAGCTTAAATGAACAGTTAAGATTCCTATAGCTGACCCGAACTTGTTTGGGACTGAGGGATAGTTATTGTTGTAGTACACCTATACAAGGTAAAGCAAGTCCACACATTATATATGGTAAGGCTGAGGAATATCTAAAGAAGAGCAAGTACCCATGTCTTTAGAAACCGTCTTTGCTTTACAAATAAGAGCGTAGCCGAGGCCATTTCTTTGCAATTCTCCAGCAACGCATACATTACTCAAGTATCCCCTAGCAAAATCAGCTCCGATTCCCTGTTTAGATGCAGTAGAATGATATAATTACTTATACAAAGAGATTTGTTTATCTACATATGCAAGCAATAAGCACTGCAAATCTCGCATCAACGACAAATGCATTGAAAGAAAAGAATACACAAAATAAATGAAAAGGTATCTAATGATACCTTTGGTTTCATTCCTGTGATTTCATCTGGAAGTCTGATGCACTGGTTAACGTCCAGGGTCCCGACAACAACTAGATCCGCATTATCATGAGAAAACTGCAAGTAATGGAAACTAAAAAAATTTAATAGTATTGCATAAAAGTACAGTTGGACTTGACTCTTAATACAGATGCAAGCAATAATGGTGTGGAGATTACGTAATCGCAATTAAAGATGATTTCCCAAGGACGGAAAATGTAAAGAAGGAAAGAAACCAAAGCGTAAAGATTCTCACCTTACAAGAAGTACTCAAATCATATGCAACATTTGAGACTTCTGAAAATGGAAGGGTGGCATTGATGCAAGAAACTCTTCCAAAGCCAACCCTTTTCCCAGCAATACGTTCTGTCAGTGCTTCAAACTCACGTTCAGTCAGGTACTTTGTATGATCCTAATAGAACTTGATAAGGAGGATATAACAATCAGTATATACTTTAAACAAGATGAGAAAATATTAGCAGATTTACGCATAACTTGAAAATGATGATGGCCAGCTAGCAAACAAAGATAACATTTTTCTTTAACTGGAACAGATATTGCCACAAAAATAAACAGAAAGGAAGTAAAAATAAGACTTCTTGGATAAATAAAAGAAGAAACCCAATAATCCTGGAAAGGTCATATCAATTACAATAAAACTCAACACAACAACATACCCGGTGTAATCCCACAAGTGAGGTATGAGAAGAGTAGGATGTACCCTGACCTTACACCTACCTTTAAGGGGTAGGGAGATTGTTTCCGATAGACCCTCGGCTCAAAAGAGAAGTTATCGAAGGAGGGTTGAAAGAAAATATGACAGCAAAATAGTAAGATATAAGGCAAATGAAGCAACAAATAATAATATACATTGGAGAATAAGAAACTATGTGACTACTAAATGCAAAAGGAGCTTTATTTCTTTTTCCCCTTTTTTTTTTTTGGATAAACTATAAAGATTGATTTCGACTATTCTTCTTAAGACAAATTCACAAGCTCTCACATAAATTACAACAAAATCCAAATACTAACAATAAAGATACTAACTTTAACAATTCTTTGATAAAGAAGAAACAAGAAACATCCATAAACTGAACTAGGAATGGCCATTGTTGAGTCCAAAAGTAAATAACTCAATAATCTTTTGCAGCTAAATCCACAAACTCTTACATAAATCACAACAAAATTCAACATCATTAAGCAGAATCAGAAGAAACTACATAAATATAGTTTCTTCAAATGCAAAAGCCACAAATTCTTACATCAACCATACTGAAATTCAATACAACATTAACAAAAAGTAAATAAATTTAGCTATGGAGAAAAAGAGGGCAAAAGGAGGGAAAAAAAGTGAACCTCAACTATGGTCAAAAACACACTAAAGCATCACTATTTTTCGAGATTCATAGCTGAACTATTAGGTACCAACAACTTATCAAAACACACCTCAATTATGAGTTGTTTCTTTTCCTCCTTGAAATATCATCATCGCTCAGCTAATAAAAGGAAACAATTGATACTTAAAGTGTGTTTTGATAAATAGTTGGTGATGATCCAAATAGCAAACTCTGAAACTCGAAAAATCAGAATAATTCAGGTGTGTTTTTATCCCTAACTCATAAAGTTATTAACTTTAAAGTCCAATAGTGTTGTGCAGCTAAAATCCACAAATTTTTACATCAATTCCACTGAAATTCAACACTATATTAACAATAAGTAACTAAACTTAGCTATGGAGAAAAAAGGGCAAAGAAAAAAAAAATGGACCAAGAAACTACAATTAACATGCTAGTCAAGCAAAGATAACATTTTTTTCACCACCAAAGGATGTAGATGGAAAAATCCTTGGTAGAGAGTATCACCCCTGATGGCCCCCTATCCAATACGAATAAGGATTAAACTAATCAAGCTTCAATACGGATATCAGACAACAGATAGGAAACCAAATATCAACAATAAAGATATCAACTTTAAAGTCCAATACTGGAAAAATCCACAAATTCTTACATCAATTACACTGAAAAGTGAAATCCAACACTACATTAACAAAAAGTAAACAAATTTAGCTATGGATAAATAAAAAAAGGGGCAAAAAAGATCAACAAACTCACTTCTATGTTGAGAGTTTCATGGTGAAAGCCATAGAAAGTCCTAACACGAAGACAAGAAGCAGCCCACAACTCATTTTCAGATTTAGCTTCAGATACATATAAAAAAGATTTATCAATCAAGATTGGTGATGGGGTTTGTGAAGAAATTTGGGGCTGTTGAGAAATTTGAGAAGAACAAACAACAGAAGAATGAAAAGGGTTACTGCTGTTAAAATTATAGCCAGAGCCATTAATGGTGGAGAAATTGGTGTTGGATTTTTTGGGGAAGAAAGAGTATGAAAATGGTGTAAAGAGGATTGCCATTTTCTTTCTTTCTTGGTTTGCTTTGTTATGGTCCAAGCTTTTTCTAGCTTGTTAGTTGGATTATGTTTTCATTTCGTATTTTGATTCTGACTAATTAAAATTTGTATTGTATAAAATATTTGAAAGATGTGTTTCATAAGGATTATATTTTTGGTGATTCAAAAGAAATTCTTATTTGGAATACTTTTTTTTCATAGAAAATCTAAAATTAGTATTTTTTTTCTCTTGTGTGTTTCTTTATTGTGATTGGTGATATTGATAGCTAAATGGTTATGTGCATTGATTAAAGATAAGGTTTTGTGAGTGATGGTTGATAATGGTGATTGTAAGTAATAACTATTGGTGATAATGATTAATTGTGGTGTGGTTGGTAAACATTGATGATGAGGGTCGTAGGCTCGTAGCTAATTGTGATAATCAATGATGGTCGACAATAATGATCAACAATAGTAATAAATGATAATTAGAAATAACAATTCCCTTGTAGAGAGATCACAATGATGGTCGTTAAGTTTAAAGTTCTCAACTCTTATTATAGTGTCGATTTATACATTATTTTTTCAACTAGATAATCTTACTTCTAATCTTAGTGTTCTTTTCTTTAAAGACTTATAGCCGATGTTGTATTAGCTTCTATTCATTATTGAGATTGTAGTCGATGTTGTTCTAGGGTTATTGTTTAGTAGGAATAATTCCTAAATTGATGAGAGTAGTTGTGTGGGTGAGGTTTGTAACAGGAAGCGAGTTTGACTTCTTGGAAAGTTGCTAGAATAGTTTGAGTGAATTGTTGAGTTGAGGTACTAGAGTTAGTTCCTTAAATTGTCGAGTTGTAATCTGAAACATTGCTCTTGAGAAGTTAGTGGAGATTTGCGGTTTAAAGCCTACACGATGTAGGTTGTGATTTTTACTCCTTTCAACAAAGAGTTTTCCATGATAAATTCGTGTCTTGTTAATTTTGTTGATCACAGCTTACTACGTTTTTAGGAACCAGATTCTAAATAAGGATAATGGATAAAGTAATTTTTCACGATATACACTCTATTCTTTTCGGACCCATTTGACCAAATGGCTCCCCGAAAATATTCTAAAAACAAAACCAAGAACTAATTGGGCTTTTTTTTGTTATGGTTTTGTAGCCCAGCCCATTAGCTTGAGGCTGGCACTGAATGTCGGAAATCGGCCCAACAGCCCAAAACCAAAGTTTTGTTTAATTTATAAATGAGAAAATTTCATAAATAGCGGTATTAGTATCCATTTTTTACGAAAAATAAAAATAGTGAGATTTTGCTATATTTCAAAGTATAATATGGTGTTCAAAACCTAGTCGAATATATGTATTCAGGTGTATACAATATCTTTCCTTATCGACCCTTCGGGGTGGCCCAGTGGTTTGGGCTTGGGACTTTCATGTTGGAGGTCTCAAGTTCGAAACCCCTTGCTAACGAAAGCAAGGGGTTTGTCTTCTGGGTCGAGCTCGTCTCACCGGGCTTGTCTAGTGCGGGTTACCTCTCCTATGTGGTTTGCAAGCTATTGCATAGGAGCGGGAGTTTTACCCTGTGTGCATCCAAAGAATAGCGGCTGCGGTTTCCCTTGTCATAAAAAAAAACAATATCTTTCCTTATCGAAGATCATGTGAATACAATATAATTATAACATAATGTGTAACAAACTGTATATGAATGTAGACGTCTCTTACTTCTCTCACATAAAATGCGATAATAGTCAATTATGCATTAACTTTCTATCAAAATATTTTTTTATCTGAAGTTATATTTTAATAATTTTAAGTTATGTCATATTCTATCTAATTACGAGTTCTTAGTGTTTAAAATAATATATATATTAATAACACTGTAGGGTCTTATCAAAGATCTTACCTTTTCCTTTTTAACAGGTTTTGTTGGAATAATTGTTTTTTTCTTCTTATTTTCCAATTAGTTTCAATTTCCAATTTCCTACACCTATTAATCCTAAAGAATAACCAGGCTGAATATTTTTACTTGCGTAAAAGGTGTTAGTATCATATAATTAAGATACTTTTTAAAAGTTAAAATTATAACTTTTATTATATAAGTATATGTAAATTAAAATAAAATAAATTATGATTATCGATTTATCATATCGTAAAATATTGAAGTATATCGAATTAAGTTAATATCCCCTCTAGTTTAATATAAATGAATTGTTGATATTTTTTAATGATCCAAAATGAATAAATTTTTCAACATTTAAAAATATGTTTATTTTTTTCTAGAATTATCATTTTTTAAAAGGAATTTTCAACTAATTTTTATATCCCAAATAATGACTATCTCTCTACTTTTTAAGAAGAGTTTAGGAAGAATTAAAGACAATATTGACAAATTAGCCTTTAATTAATATTTTAAAATATCTTTTTAAGGGTGTGTCATACGCCAATAATTCATTTTCATTAAACTAGAAAGAGTATGGTAATGATATATTGCTTACTCCGTTTCAATTTATGTAACACATTTTTTTAGTCTATTTTTTAAAAAACAACAAATTTCTATAGTAATATATAATTTAATTGAAAAATATTTAGTTTACCCTTGATTAGATGATTTATAGTCACCTACGCATCTACGACTTGTTTTAGACTTTAAAAAAAATTGTTTTTTTCTCAATTTAAATAATATCAAATAAATTAAAACAAATCGAGTAATATTTTTAAAAGGTAAAAATCAAAATTATGAAATTAATTTTTTTTATACCGTACCATATCATACCAGGTTCTTAATCTATCAGATAGTCTAGTGGAATAATTGCTTTCTTCTTCAATTTTTCCAAGTTCCAATTTCCTACTTTTAATTAATCTACAAAAATAATGTCAGGCTATAAACTGATTATACATGTTTCCCAATGTAAAAATTCTGAAAAAGAAATAACCAAACATGCTTTTTTCTTTTTGGATTGAAAACTCACTTACACTCTTATTTGATATCTTTTAAAATAGGGTAAGGCTACGAGGCTGTTTGAATTGGCTTAAAAGTTGGTTAAATTTATTTTTAAATCAATTTTTAATTTTTGAAAGTGTTTGATAAATATAAAAAAAAAACTTAAAATAAGTTTAAAATGACTTAAAATAAGTTGAGAAGTGTTTGGCAAGGTCAACAATAACTTAAAATAAGTTTAAAATGACTTAAAATAAGTCAAAAATCAAAAGTAGGTCTCCTCCTATTTTTTATTTTTTGACTTAAAAGTCATTACTTTTTACTTAAAAGCTACTTTTTTTAAGTCAATCCAAACGAACCCTAAATGGCCAGAAATTTAAAAAAATTATAATATTATTTTTATTTTAAAATAAACAGATCTTTTTTCCATTTTTTAGTTAAAATGTATTAAAGTTAAAAGGATAAAAATGTTCAAAAAAAGTAAAATAACATAGGTAAAATATCATTCTAGCCAAATTTTCTGGCCAAATGATTTTTTCCTTTTAAATAATTAATACATTAATAGTGTACTGCTTGTTAGCAAAAATAAAAAACAGCTTTTTTTATAAAGCTGTTTTATGTTTTACTTATCACAAAATCTTCTTAATTGGTAGTGTAGATTCATTTGTTCATTGGATATTGTGTTAAATTAACGGTGGAAAAGGAAATAAATAAATATATAAATTAGCAAACTATGGTGCATTTTTATTATACTTTTTCCGTCTAGTTGATCATCTTACTAAATATAATTGTCTCATATGAATTGTTCATCTTATTAAATTAAAAAAACATTGATTAAATTTTTCTATATTATCCTTGCAATTAATTCTTTTCAAAACAATTCACATTTGTTTATAAAATTCTTAGAATTTCTTTTAAGGGGTGGTTTAGTAAAATTATAAGAATATTAATAATCTTTTAATATGCCTATAAAAAAAGTGATAAACTAATATAAAATGGAGGGAGTATATATTAATTTGTTTTGCTTCATTTATATGTAGAGTGTTGGTTAACCAAACTTTGTATATATATATATGGGACAAAGTGTTGATCAATCAAAAATTTTATGTTCAGAACATGTAAATTGCAGGAATAAGGATACTAAGATGGATTTATATATCTATATAGAAAAAATAAAAATTAATATTAAGAATATTCGAGACAACGTAAAATTAAATGGTCTCCGTAGTAGACAAAAAGAGGAGATGAATAGTTTGGATATGTAAAGAAAGAGATGCACAAACGTTCCAAAGAAAAGGTGTAAGAGGATATAGTGGATTGTCGAACGGTAGACGTAGGCTGAAGAAGTACTTGGATTATGCAATTAGGCAAGACATGATACAATTTTAGTTTATCGAGAACATGACCTTAAATAACAGAGTACAATATAAGAATCGTAAATTATGATAGAAACTTAGTAGGTAATTGAGCTTAATTTGTCTAACTTTTTGACGAGATTAGGTTTGGTTGGAGTCTGAAAGCACAGGGTTTGTCATAATATAACCTTATACATGTAATTTTTTATTTTTGATATTTGTTGCCATTTATTTATTTTTTATATATTTGTTACTGTACTTATATTATTTTGTTGTTATTACTGGGTTTTTTTTCTAAAACTTTATCCTCTTTTTCTTAATAACTGACATTTTTTTCACTGTCATATTTTATCTTTTATAGCTATTTTAATTACTACAGTTAAATTAATATAGTCTTTTAAAAATAACCTCTCTACGTCCTCTTATATAACGACTTTGAATGTGATTTCTGTAATATTCATAAATTTATTTTACTAGTCAAAGGGCTACTGAAAATGACTACACAAGCATTAAATATTTCTGTGCACTGGGAAAAGATTGAAATATCATTTTTAGCTTCTTTTTTAAAAATATTAATTTTCAAAAAAAAAAAGGTCAATTGTTCTTTATACAATCTCCTAGTTAGTTTTTTTTTATATAGAAAAAAAATCCATATCCAAATATATTGAAACGTTCACTTCAATATTTGATTATTTAACTTAAACCTCATTGCTCATCCTCAAATATTATTTAGCGTTG